TATTATAACTGTTGCCTGAAGAAGAAGACTGCCGGTGTAGGAACCAAGGCCTTTTAGACGTGAGAAAGAAAAGAGCTAGTATCCTATCCTTGTTGCATTCTTACCTCAGTCTTTTCCTAACGCCTGTAAGTCCAAGGAAGAAAATATGATCTCAAAATTTGAAGTCCAGATATCGTACTTCAGTACAGACTTATGAACCGATCAGCTTTAATAGGACATGGCCTTCTTGTTGTCCTTGAATAATAACTATTTACAATTTGTTACATTCGAAAACCACTCTGCCAAGATGGCAGGAAAAAGATAGTATTAGTCTTAAGTTTTCAATGCCAAAAGACCCTATCATGAATGAAGGCTCAAAACAAACCTCTATTCTGTACGCCAGATCATATCATAATGATCTTTGATTCCAGACAATATCTTCAAATTAGACACCGCCATGGTGAGAAATGATTGAAGTGTTTTTGTTATAGAATCGCTTGGGGAAGGAATATTCCTTTATTTCACCAGTTTATGGTTAAAGAAGATTTTATCTCATGTTATATATGCCTGTATGTTCTTTACCTCATGCCAAAATTTGTATCATAATCAACTACCTTAGATGCATAATATATATATCACAAGTTCATAACCTAGTTCTAGAATTACGATGGATCCTTTTATCAAATCTAAGAAAGTGAATGTGAAATCATTGAATAGCTGTATTTTTTTTTTATTTTTTTTTTCGTACCCTTCTTTTGCAGGTGCAAGATGGGTCAGCACGATCAGGATGTAAAAACGCCTTTCTTCTAGGTAATTGGATCCTTATCTTGCTGTTGAATGCCCACTTTCGCATGCTGTCCATTATGGTTTTCTGAGCCTTATTGCTTTTCGTACAACCTCCTTTTTCTTTTCCACTGCACAAATATCCCTCCAAATCTTTTCTTCTTTTCCCTTCCCCCTCCCACTTTGGAATCTGGACCACTAACACTCCCTTTCACACAAAAGATGAGCATAACTCTAACTTGCTCCTGTCACAAAAACTTTTTTCTTGTGTTCGGGAAGGCTCCTTAGTAGGACATTAAAATAATTCTGAGCCATTCCCATTTAGCTTTTCTTTGAAACGAAGCAAAGCCGTAGATATTTTAGTTCCTCTTAGCAATGGGGTAGTGGGGTTTGAATGATGAAGCCCATTACCAACTTTTTAGTGAGTGTGGGAAGTCCATGCCTATTAAAAGGAGAGGTGTACACTACCGAGTGGTTTAGCTGAATTTAACAACAAAGCCCACAAACTGGATATTGTTGTCTGCCAAGTCCAACCAAGTCCCACATGGATGTTCTGTTTTATCAATACCCTGTTTTCTGGACAATAAAGGTTCATGATTTCGAAATCACGGGTTATTTTACAACTCAAACTTCCTTTTTTTTTTGTCCATATTCAAGTTTTAGTTTAGGTAGAGCCGGAAATTGTGATCCTAACATGGTAGTATACGGTTGAGAAAAATGTAGGGCATTGAATACATGCACTCATGAGCATGATTTGAGCCATGTGATATTAAGTAAAGTCGGGGAGCGGCATGTCCAAACCTTCCGTAGATTCCATAGATTTCTGTTATTAAAGTAAACTATAGTTTTAGTGTATGTTTATTTGAATCAAAATCAGTGTGATACATATCTTTCATGCAAAAGTAATTTATTTGTTTAATTTTACATTTTTAAATACAATTTTCATAAACTAAAATTGATTTTTGAATTATTAATACCATGTTTTAAAATAATTTTGAACTTTTAACTAATTCAAAATCAGTAAATTATGCGTTGTTTAATTCACTAAATTATACTTAAAATGGTTTTGTTGTTATATGATATATATCCTATTAATAATGCACTGTTTCATATACCATCAATCTTAACTGTTTAATTAATAATATGTTTATCAATTTGTTGATGATATCAACACCTTTTTAGGGGTAACTATAGCCAAAATGTTTGAATGATATATTTCTATTCCCCCCTCCCATAATAATCATAATAATAATAATAATAATAAATGTTTTGCAGTGAAATGAGGAAATAAAATTCAATAATTTAGATTGGTTCAGGAAGGAAATTTAATTTCTTTTCACATGTCAATTTCATTTAATTTCATGGTATCTTAGGCATAAATTATTGTAAGAGGCTGTCCTGCTTTAGTAATTGCTTGGTGAGTAAGTTCTATGATAAATAAATAGGAACTGCATCGTGGCAAGCCTTATTCAATAATTAACACTCTTATTTAGGCATTAAAAAAAGATGTGTATTTTGAGAACTTTTTAGAATTTAAAATTCAATTAAAAGAACTTTACAAGTACAAAAAAAAAATGGAGATCATCTTTAATTGAGTGGGTAGTTACAAGATCTTATTTTAGATAAATTAGAAAATGAATTTAAAATATTTATGTTTTTTTTTTCTTATTGATAATTCAGACGTTCCTATGTTTTTATTAATGGTGTCCTAGGTTTTAGGATTTTGAAACGTTTATCTAGGAATATAGTTGAAAATTTTCACACTAAGCTCCTCGTTGACGTGCTTTACTGTTATGACATTTTCAGTTTTTAGCCCCACTTTTGCACTAATAAGAAAAGAAAGAAAGGACAAAGTTGTCCAAACGCTTTACTGCGTTTATATTGACAGCTTTATTGTATTTTATGACCTTCATGAAAATATTTGTCTTTGTACATCTGTCGGTTTAATCAAGGGCCAAGAAAGGGAACCAAGGCCAAATTAGTTAATCCTCATCTTTCTTCTATGAGAATCCAAACTATCCCCATAAATATTATCTAATCAAACTCCACTTGAAACCGTGTGAAGAAGATTCTCCATAAATTTATATTTTGGGCATAAATGATTAGCTTAGTAGAATATTTGGTAATTAGAATTGATTTTTATTTATTTATTATTATTTTCCCCTCTGTTTACTTTATTTATTTATTTTTTATTTTTTTTTCCTTTCTTGATACATATGTTGTCTTATTAGGGGAATTCTCGTAAAGTAGGATTGAGATGATTGGACAAACTTCTTTCACATTCCTAATTTTCTTTATTAGGTGATGCCTACCATGAAACATTCAACCAATTTGATGCCTACCCATTAGCCACTTTATAATTTTATGAAACTTGAAAGCTAATCTCTAGAATCATGCCTTTCTTTCGTCTTCCTCGAAAGAAAAGAGAAACCTTTTTTTTAAATATTAAAATGAGAGAAGTCTTTTCAAGTAGCAAAAGAGATAATAAATTGAATTGGATTGGATTGTTGTGTTTTATTTGCTAAATTGAAAACGTTATTCAATTTTTTAATTGAAACTTCTAATTAGTCATTTGTAGCATACCTAATAACTTAGATATAAATAATGTTAAGTTGACTTTAGTACAAAAATTATTAGATTTATATATTGTGATGTCCCACTTTGGTTGGGAGGAGAACAAAACACCCCTTATAAGGGTGTAGAAACCTTCTCCTAGCAGATATGTTTTAAAGCCTTAAAGGGAAGCTCGAAAGGGAAAGTCCAAAGAGGACAATATCTACTAGCGGTGGATCTGGGTCATTATAAATGGTATTAGAGCCAGACACCGGACGATGTGCTAGCGTTCTCGCTGTTCCCCAAAGAGGGTAGACACGAGGTGGTGTGCCAGTAAGGACGCTGGTCCCAAAGGGGGGTGGATTTGGTGGTAGTCCCACATCGATTGGAGAAAGGGCCAGCGAGGACGCTGAGCCCCGAGGGTGGATTGTGATGTCCCACATTAGTTAGGGAGGAGAACAAAACACTCCTTAGAAGGGTGTGGAAATGGAAACGCTTTTAAAGCTTTGAGTGGTAGCCCGATAGGAAAAGCTGAAAGAGGACAATATGTGCTAGTGGTGGATCTGGATTACATATATACAATAATTCTCTAATTTTCTATATAGAGAAAGTTGTCCTCAAAATTACTATTTAAAACCTTTTGTTTAAATAGTTTTTTAGAAAATCCATAATTTAAGACCTCGTCACTTTTGTCACATTTCAAACTTCGGTTAGAGTTGAAGCATTAGAAGGGGATTGGCAATTGATAGAGGATTAGGATTAGGGTTGTTTGTTCCCTTTTTACTTTGAAAACAAGCCTTTCATTAGGGGGTTAAATCTTCGTTTTAACTATTAAGAGAGCAATGAAAGAAAGAACAGAGTAGTGAGGCATCCAATTGTGGGGCTTTTATGTATCCATAGCGTATGATAAGGAAATTTAACATTAGACAGGAAGTCTTCCTTTAGTTGACTAAACCCACAATCATCACTACATAGTAAAGTGGAGTCCTATTCTTCTTGTTTTCTTGTTTTCTTGTTTGTATAAATAACCTTTTTATTGTCTTCTTTCTATTGATAGGTTGCGGCTAATATCAAAATCACTTCACTAATGGGGAACCCGATGCCTTGACGCAAGTGCCTACCCACCCACCCCACATCAAAAAGGTTAGCCTTCCTCGCTTCTATTCATCATATAAGCTTCATCATTATTCTCTGCTTCCGTCTGCATTTTCTCAATGGAATATTTTAGAATTTTATATGGTCTTTGTTTTCGAAATTTTGTTGTTTTTCCTGTTTTTTTTCTTTTTTTTTTTCAAATTTGTGTCGGGTCACAAAGGGAAGAAGCATGCTAGACAAGTTCAGATAAGTTCTGATTCTTAAAAGGTAGGCGAAAAATAAATTTGTAACTTATATCAATTTTAACCCTAAACTTTAAATTTATTAAAGTTAGATAATTGTTGCTATCTAATAAATGAATTAAAAAATATCTAGGATATGAAATTAAGAAAATTTCTAGAGAAAATTGACTTTAGAGCTACTGAAATTTATAATAAATTTTGTAAAGTTATTCAATAAAAGTGAAATTTGTTTCTGTATAAAACTTTGTTTTGTTGAAATTTTAAAGGTTTTTATTTAAATTACAACAAAAATTTATTCTAGAGTAAAATTGTAACAACTATTTAAGTTATGTTCAATTTCAAACTTTAAAGTTGTTCTGGTGTCTCTATTAAAAGAATTTTAAAATGGTCTATTTTGTTCTTATACTTTTAAAAGAGTACAAAAGATTCTTATATCAGCTATGTTTTGGCATTTAACTTTGTTAGTTCAATGAACCTCCTTCTGCTCTGATATCATGTTAACCTCCTTCTGCTCTGATATCATGTTAGGTTGAATGGCACTGAATCTATGATCTACAATATAATCTTCATTATACGATCTCATATATTTATAGATGTGTATAATGAAGATTATATTGTAAATCATAGATTCAGTAACAAACCATACAATCATAGATTTGGTAACAAACTCATGAAATCAAAGATTTTGTAACAAACTAGTAACAAACTAGTAAATGATAGATTTGGTAACAAACTAGTAAATCCTAAATCACTACATTATCCGTACAGATATGATCTATTCTCCGTTTAACAAAAATTAGTGTTCCACACAATTATTAAATAATAGTTAGTTAAAGGAATCTATGGGACGAAATTCTGAAAGTCCAAAGCTTGTAAATTGATCTGAAAAAATTTAAATACAATATTATATAGAAATAATTTTAAAATCTCAAAGAACCAAACATATAATTTAAAATGTTAAGTAGGGTAAGTCTTTTTTTTTTTTTTTTTTTTTTTGCA